CTTTGCCACACTGCTGGAAATACCGTATGCGAAAACCTATAAAAAAGTGCTTTTGGATTCAAAAAAACTATGTCGGCAAAAAATGCCGCCTGCTCTATGAGGAAATGCCCACTGTGTTACAAGAGCTACTTGTTGTTGCAGTTAATTGATGTTTAGATTCTTTAAAAACTGGAGTAATCTGAGTTACTAAAATTTTATTTTTTTCTCTAGTAACTGATTTTTGTAATTGATCAAAATTCATTTTCTTTTCTATAGTAATGCAGTTTTCTTTGTCTAATGAAAATGAAATTCTATCATTTGATCTCATACTGTCTAAAACATTTCTATTACCGATATTCGATTTCGTAGTACAATCGCTCAAATATGCTACTGATAATTTTGTCGATTCTAATTTAGACTCTGAGAATGAAAAAAAAAACGAAATTTTTGTTTTAATAAGTAATAACATAAAAAAGTTTACCAGTTAGTTTCGTTTGTGTATCAGTCTCATATGATAATGTATTATTCAGTGTAATACTTGTTTGTTGACGATGATAAGAAAATTGATTTAAACAATTCTGAATTGTTTGTTGAACAAATATGAGACGTTTTGAATATAAATTTAACATTAATATCAAACGATTATCTTCCATTGAAAAAAGTGATAGGACAATATAATGTAAATGAGTCAATGTTTGTTGAATAAACAATAACAAATCAAATATTTCACTATCTGAATAGACTAGAATAGTTTCTTCATTTCTCATCGAATTCATAGCTTTAACAACAACAAAAAAAGACAACAATAAACAACAGAGATTAAATGAAATTTATTTTCTTTAAGGAATACCCTGATGCGTATTTCGATTTATTTTAATTGTACACGTTAATAATCGTTGACATAATTTAACATACAATATTTTTTGTGATAAACAGATATATTTTGAATTTGATGATGATATCATTGTCAAAAAAATTGTAAATAACTGTACAAGATGTTTTTCAATTAAACTTCTTCTTCTTCCTTTAACATTTTCATAAAATATCAATAATTTCATTGATTTACAGAGTTCTTGAATTATTATATACAACAGATCAACTGGAACCGATTTACAATTACTAGTAGTAATATCACCTGAAACATTACATTTTTTACTTCTCTGTTTTAACTCTATATGACAATTTTTCATGAAATTTTTAATATTATTCATAAGTTGATCGATATTTATCAATAATTGTTTTGCTATTGTACTGTTTGAATCTAAAAATTGAAAAGAAAAAATGAATATTTTTCATTCTTTGTACAGAGTTTACATTCCTATCACATATGAATACTTCTGTTTTACAACTAAACTTCTTCAGTTTTCTAGATGTCTTGACATTATGACAAATTCATTCGACTAAGCTCCAGTTTTTACCACACATGAAAACCAAAACCTTATCTCATAGATTGAAAAATTTACTAAAATTGTTGCAGTTTAATAAATGATTGCAAAAAAACCTTGCGTATATTCTGTTATATTTTATCGTACTTTGAAATAATGTGTAAAAATATTGGAATACTAATAGAGCAACTTCTAAAATATTTGTTAGTAACAAATTGCATTCTTGATTATTCAATATTTGCTCAAATACAATTAAGTAATAATTAGTTAGAAGGATAAAATTTTTAACCACTTGTTGAGCGATATTGATATCGAATATATATTTATCACTAAGTTTTTGTATATCTTTTAGAAGGACGATACTTTCATTGAGAAAATGTTTTGTTAACAATGATTTATTTGGAATTTGACATTGATAATTTTCAATTATCTTTCTCAATTTTTTTATAAATGTTACACAAGTGTTCAGCAAAGAGTTGACGATTTGTGTTTCTTGATCTTTTGATGAAAACAATATTGAACCAATATTAACTATTGTATCTAATTTTATCAACGTGTTTTCTACTCGTAATATAAAATGCTCATCGTTTAACCAAATACTATTGTCATCTGATAAAATGTTTGAAAGACATCCGATTATTTGTAAAAAATTATTTTGAATATTTGTGTAATCATTTGGTTGTGTTTTGAGTTGATAAATGAAAACATCACAATTATTGAGAAGTTTATCGATAATGTTCATTATTTTTTACTAGAATAACTCGAAGAATTCTTTCTACGTGAAAGAAACGGCGCGTAGGCATATACTGTAAAAAACATGAACGGCTGTTTTGAGGAAATAACCTGTTCTAGTCAATAATTCATTAAAAAAGCTTCTAACTACTATTGTCATGAGGCGCTAATGGAATTCTTAAATTTTAGTGCTTAGAAGTTGTTAGCTACTTGATTCTTTTTATTAGTAATTTTGACTTCTTTATTATTAAATTAGTGAGCTAGTGAATTTCATCCTAGCAATATTTTGGCCTGCATAACTCACGCCTAACACAAAACGAAAGTCTGTCCACAGTAGGCATGCAACAGTACTAACACCATCCATACCAGTACCGATCAATACTGTACTGCTGCTGTTGCATGCCTAGTCCAAAGTATTATAACACTATGATTAAGTCAGTGGATTTAATAAAAATCAACTGTTTTAATCCTTTCTACTCTCCCATTTTCGATCCGAAGCTAAATTCAGTGGCACTTTATTACGATCGTAAGAAATTAAAGTGAAATCCTAGTAGGATATTGGTAAGACATGTTTCGGATCCTGTCAGAAAACGCATTGGGATTTGACTTGGGTATCTAAACAAAGATAGAGTCAGATTTTGGGCCTTTTTGCTTTCCAAATAGCCAAGATGGAACAAAAGTGGATAAACAAAACTCAATTATAAAATTTCTCTAGAACAAAGTTAAAAAAGATCCGATGCCTCCTGAAGACTGATATATGGAGTCTCGAAAAACTTCATTGTAAATACACTTTTATTTAGCAAACTTTTTCGGAAAGTTTCGTTCAGACTGACTTTGTATTTGCTAAGGTTGAATCCTAATGAAATCAGATATACCAGAAAGGTACAGCATTTTCTAAGATTCTGTTAGGATCCTAAACAAACTTAAGCCAAATCCTGGTAGGATCCTAGCATTTTGGGATTCTGCTAAGACGTTATTAGCTGGATCCTAAATGTTATAATCCTCTAAGATCCTAGTAGGAGATAAACAATTTGCATGACAAGGTTGCGATTACCATTAATCGTTTAATATTTTCTTTTTTGTAATAATAAACAATACGTTAGTTTCTTATATCTGTTTGTATTACCACACTGACAGCACTATGCAAAATTCCTTCTTTTGTCTTTTCTTCTGTCTCTCTGCGTATGTAGATGATAATAATGAATCATTATTATGAACTACATATACAGGGAGAAATTCATTATTAATGAAAAATTGAACAAAAAATAAAAATAATAAAACGAAGAAATAAGCGTTCGGAATCGTCACCACCGACTAGCTATAGTTTATCTAATTTCATCGAGAAAGCGATGTATCATTTGGGATACTCCCCTCATCAAATGGGATTTAAAAAAACGAAGCTGTCATATATACATTAACACCTCTAGGTATTACCTAGCTATCGTCCAGATGTCTATCGTCACTATTCACGAATACAAACAGATATAAGAAACTAACGTATTCTTTATTATTACAAAAAAGAAAATATTAAACGATTAATGATAATCGCAACCTTGTCATGCAAATTGTTTACAACATATCAAAAAAAGAGCTGATTTTGTTCAAACAGTCGGTTATTACAGAGCGAATGCTTCGGTGCTTTTCTTAGTTTACGTTAGTAATTAAACTAACGCACTTGTTGTAGTAATAACTACTTGATAAAGTCTCTCAGTTTCACTTATGATTATTCGAAAATTACAGACTATGTAGGTATTCATACTAATTGAATAATAGTGAA